TTAATTTAAAGTGGTGTTTTCCATTTGTATATGTGTGACTAAAAGAAAAATACAATATTGCATTTTGTGATATGTTTTATAACCTGTACACAAAGTGGGGCCAACGGATGTCTTCAAGAGAAATAAAAGACACTGCTGTCATTCTAAGTAAATTCACCAGGAGGAAGGAAGAGTGGAACAGATGATTACAAATGCTTAGGGAGAAGCATCACTTTGCCAATCGTGCAGAGCCTACAATTATGTGCAATTCCCTACTTATACGTTTTGGTTATGCTGAACATTGAAAAAAATCTAAATGATGGTGAGGAGAAAAGAGAAAGGGAGAGATTTAAGCATTCAATGGAAGGCGTTCATTTAAATGGAGACGTTGCCTCACCATAGAGGGCAGTTAAAAGTTTGATAGTCCCCCTGGCAACCTATTGTCAAATCATTTTTTTTAAAAACCATGGATTTGGGATCCTTATAAATCTTCCTTATTATTTTGAAGCCAAGAATGGTTCCTCCTGCTCACAAAACATGATCACTTTTCACTGATATTTTTTAATGCCCTGATTTTGAATATCTGAAAAAGATAAATCTTCAACCTTTAGAAATAAATCTTCTGTTTCCTCCTTGCCAAATCCATAATAGATCCTTTTCTACCACTGACAGCAACATCAGATATGTAGAGGTCCCTTGCTTGGTTAGAAGTGTGCTCTGATTTTCAGCAAGAATGTGAATGTAGTTAAAGACCCATACTAAGACATGTTCAGCACATTAGAAATTCTTTTCAGTTCTATTCTGGAGGTGTTCCCTGAAGTCTCAATTTGACTGTGGGGCTCATTCAGAGCTGACATCCTCCGAATTGGGTGTCCCAGGGAGGGGAGAGAAGAGGCCTTCAAGACCTGGGCTGCAGCAGGTGAAGTGAAGATGCGAAACTAGATGGGGCCCTGGCCTTGGCCTCTTCAGAGCCCTAGGGTCTTCTCCACTCCTCACGCTGGAGGTTAGTTTACCCCAAATTATTGCTTTGGGGAGAGTAAGGCAAATCTGAAGATGAGCAAACCACAGAATCACTCAGAAGCATCAGAAAATGAAGTCTGAGATTCTACAACAGCATGAGTTTTTATCTCTCGTTCTGCCTCATCATTTATAACTAAAATGTGGAAGAGAAGGTAATTAAACTACCTAGAGTTATATAGGATTTTCTATTCCCTCCAACTTTTATTTTTAAATATATATATTTTATATTTTATTCTTTCAGCAATCTCATGATATAAATAGGGCCAGTATTATTATCCTGTGAATAGGGAGGCTCAGAAAGGGGAAATGACCTCCATGAGGTCATGCAGTGAGTCAAATACACCCCAAGGAATAATACCCAGTTCTGCTCTTGTTTAATCCAGAATATGTATGTACCCTACTGGCTTTTAGCATCCCTTTCCTCCTTCTCTCTTTGGTGGTTCTCTTTGGAACATGATCCCTCACCACCTGTGGCATGAAGATGGATGCATGTTCAGAGTTGCAGGACTATTGTTTAAAGGTCCCCCAAGGGGCCTGTTTCCATTGCTTACCTGCAAAGACAATGTTTGAACCTGTGATGGAAATCCCTTAGAGGCATCCACTGGGATTCTTCCCACCGAAGACTGCTGTAATTAGCTGTTAACAACTGTGATTGAACACGGTTTGTTGTAGTCATTGTTCACTGACAGGAGCAGATAAGAGCCACATCTCAGCAAGTGGTGTTCTAAATGGTGTTCCCTGCTTGGTTAAACTCATATAAGGCACCTGTCAAGGACGCTGTTCCCAAACTGCTAGCAGCAGGCGGTGTTGTTGCAACACCTTTGAAAGCCCACAAAAAAGGCCATAACAAATCTCCAGCAAGTGTACTGCCATGCACTGAGAGAAACTGTTTCTATTTTAACCTTGCCCAGGATCTGACTGCCCCTCATTCTTATGGAAGACATAGGTGTGGCCTTGCATAATTTAGAGAAAAGACAGTCTTGGTCTTCCTGATCTTTAAGACTTCTAAGGTTTCAGATCTTCCCCACAAGAACACTTGTAAGTGAAAGTTACAATGTGTAGTACAGTCGCTCTACACTTTTCAGACACTTTGCTCTTACTAGAAGCAAAACAAAACGCTGCTTATGAGCACCTGCTGATGAGACAGAGACAAGAGGCAGCGTGGGTGCGGGATGGGAGGTATTGCCCAGGCAGTAAATCCAAGCTGCTCATACCAAAGGAAGTGTTTCTAGGGAACTTATCTAAGCAAGAGGTAGACACTTAGTAATTCAAACAGGCCATTGGAGATGACTGCTTCATCTCCAGTAAGAAAAGGTCTGATGCCAAAGAGCTCACAAAATGGTGGGATAGCATTTCTCTTTTCAATGTACCCTTTATTCACAATATACATTCCTGTGCTAAATGTTAAGAGTCTCTGTAATCAAATCCTTGTTGACAAGGTGTTAAACAGCTATAATTTGGCTGGTTGGTGTTATTTCAACAATAGTTTTGGCTGGTTGGTGGTATTTCAACAAGTTTTTTTGCATTATGATTCTAAATAACAACAACGACAATGATAACAACAAAAATTCAAGCCTTTCTGTGGTCTAAAATATTCTGCTGTATATATCTCATGCCTTATCACCTCTAACACTGCTGTTTTATAATTCTACCTCATTGTTTTCTCAATCTGTCTCCTTGTTTCAGTGCTCACTGCCGATGTCACAGTTGAGGACTTCATCATCTCTTGCCTACACACTGCAAAAGCCTAGCATCCTAAATGGTCTCCCCTACTCACTGTCCTCCCACCCCATCTCCCATCTACCTCATCATCATTTTCAATTATCGTTCCAAATCACAGGCCTGATTGACCACTCACAAATCCATCATGGCTCTCGATTGCCTATAAAAATGAAAACCAAACTAAAGAACTTAACACAGCAGTAAAAGTCCTGTATCTAGCCCCCATCTACTGTACCTTTCATGTATCCTAAACTCCATCTATTCCAGATAATTTGCCCTTACATGTAAGCACCAACACTTTGACAGTATCTTTGAGCATGCCTTCCTTCTTTACGAAATCACCCTTTTTGAATTAGCTCAAATGCCATTTCTTCCAGGAAATTTTCCGCCATTTTCTTCCAGTCCAAATTAATTAATCTCTCTTTCCTCCAGGTTTATCTAGCACCATATGTTATATATACATATACATGTATATATACATGTACTTTTTTAAGATATAATTCACGTACCATACAATCCACCCATTTAAAGTGTAAAATTTAATGGTTCTTTAGAATAATCACAGAGTTGTGCAACCATCAATTTTAGAATATTTTAATCATCCCAAAAAGAAACCCTGTACCCATGAATAGTCCCTCCTCATCTCAGGCAGCTACCAATCCATTTTCTTTCTCTACAGATTTGCCTATTCAAGATATTTCATATAAATGGAATCAATATTATGTGGTTCTTTGTGACTGCCTTCTTTCACTTAGCATAGTTCTTCAAAGTTCTTCTATGTTATAGCATATATCAGTACCTGATTCCATTTTTTATTGAATAATAATAGTCCATTGTATGATTATACCACATTTTATTTATCCATTTATCAGTTGATGGACATTTGGTTTGTTTCAACTTTTTAGCAGTTATGAATAATGCCTCACATGTATTCTGATTACCACTTAATACGTATGGCTTAATATTATGTTTGTTTTATCATTTGATTATAAACACCTTGTGGATAAAGACCACTATTTTCACTCTGTAATCATATATAATAAGTAGTCAATAAATGTTTGACAGATGGATGAATAAGCAGATATTATAGGTTCTTATTATATCAATTATCATACAAGTACTCAGAATAAAAACATTAGCATGGACCCAGTAAATTTACCAATAAATTATAACATTCAAACACTGATGATTTTAAATAGACTTTAATCTCAGCACTATTTTCTGGAATTCCACACATAGATACTACAGTTGATTATTTCATGGAGGCAGCTGTTTTGCTAATAATTGTGCACTGGGTGGACAGAAGCCTGGAAGACATCAGACTTTTTCTCCTAGAATGACTCCAGAGTGACTTATTGTTACACTTGGCTTGACTGAGGCTATTATTCTACTCTAGAGTGATGGTTCTCAAGGCTTGATGAGCATGAGACTCTCCCATGGAGCTTTTTCAAGATACAAATTATCTGAGTCCTGCCTCCCAGATTATGATTATGTATCTTGGGCAAGGGCCCAGGTGCTCACATGTTCTGAAAACAGTAAAGATGCTTCTGATGCATAGCCAGGTTCAAGAATTCCTATTTCAAAAGTTGCCCTGAGGTTAAAAAGAATTAATTTTATAGAGCATGTATGAGCACTTTACTCCTGGAGAGTATTTTACTCATCTTGGGAGATTGCTCATTAATACTACCTAACATTTATTAGGCACTTTTTATTTGCAAAGAGCTTTGCAGTCATCTTTTATTAGCTAGGCTTTCATGCTGGGTGACCTTGTACAAATCAAATAATCCCTTTGTGTCTTAAATTTCCTCAAATATACACTGTAGGAGGTAATACTGACCCACCCTCAAGGGGCATTGTGGAGACTAATGGAGGACTGTAAGGGACTCAACAAACATAAAAATGTTATACGCATGCTTATTAGACAGATATAAAGTCCTAGTCACAGACTTTTAAAATGAAACAAATACCAAAGTAAATTCTCAAACAAGCCTTCCTACAACCTTCATCATCACGTGAAAGATCCTTTCCCAGCTCCAAAATGCAGCAATTTGCCCTTTACACCAAGACTAATAAACACACCTAATCTATAGTCACAGAGAAAACAAAGCTAATGATGGCAGCAAATAAATATATAAACAGCTCTGAAATATAGTTTAAACTTATTTATCATTCACAATGCAATTAGAGAGTACATCTATAAATACACTCTGCTGAAAAATATTCTTATAAAACATTTGTGCCTGTTCATACAAGTCTTTAAGTTAATGCTATATACTCACTGTTGATGTTAAGCCTGTAGTTGTTTTCTAGTTTGCTGATGGTTTTTACATGGCTATATTAACCTCTCCTCATTTCCTCCTCGTAGCTGAAAGAATATATGGTCAAAATGAGACCTTGAGATCTATTTCAAGTCAGGGATGAGTAAAAATGGGCGAGAGAGGGGAAGTTCTTCCAACGTTGGAATCAGAGACAGGTCTTGTAAGGATGATGATCCACAACAAAAGGCTCATTTGCACTATGTTTTTAGTTTCTTGGGAAAAGAAGTCAGACAACAGACATGTTTTTTTCTTTTTTTCTATTTTGCTTTGAAAGGACCACAAAATTTCAAGGACCAGGTCCAGTTATATATTCCAGTTCATTTACAATTGAAGGTTTCTGTGACTCTGAATGAGAATTTGTGCCCTCATGCCCCCCATAGCTGGTTTGAGCCATGAATCCTAAGCATGATCTTTCTGGGGCCACTTTTTTTTGGCTCCTGAAAGTTTGGGTTATATTCCCAAGGGCAGTTGTCTGCTTCTGCTTTGGTTAAGCTTAGGACCTGGTAACAAATTCTATTAAACAAATATTTATTGTATACTTATATCTGTAGACAATACTGTACTGGTTACTGAAGAGGTTATCAAGAGTTCCTTGAGATGTTTACAGGGTTACTATAACTCAATGATCTTGGATCACTGATCAGGTCAAGACCAACATCCTCCCTACAGGGACTCCCAAGGTTTGGTCAGCCCATTTACTGGTTCCCTGGAAACTTCCTAGACTAACCTTCAGCACACGCCAAATTGAAATGTCATTTAACTTCTCATACATTTTTCTACCTGCAACATCTGATTAGATCTCCATCAGAATTCAGAAGCTCCTGTGAAAAGAGCCTCAATCCAGGAAGCCTCATTGGTTGGAGAAAAGTTATTGTTTTTAAATAACATTAATTCCAGCATGTTTCTAACTCAGTAAACTTTAAGAGTCTCAGCATCTTTGTTGAAATCTTAAGAGGAGAAAGAACCACATTGGCTTCATTTCAATAATTAGGAGAAATTAATGCTAATACATGCCTTCAATGGGATTCGCTTAGGTATCCTAAACATTTTCTTCTATCAATGTGTAAAATCCTCAAAAGTATCCACTTGTGGATTTTTTTCCTCTGTAAAGAGATGCAAATGGTTACTGTAAGTTTATGATTTCCTCTGAGTCTTTCAAAGTCTTGTTTTCTCCATACTTCAAGGTAAGCATCTCTGCTTTACAGATCTAGAAACCAAGATGTTATGAATTAGTTTCATCACTTTCCTCAATGAAACACAAACCACCACATCCCAAACCATTGCTCTCCTTGAAATCAGGTGGCATTTTAAGACAAAGTAGAAATTGGGTACAATTTTCTGAGCCAGTGCTTGTTTTACATATCTTTCACAAGGGATCTTAAGGATCTTAGATGAAATTTAATCATCCTTACATGTTAACTTTACTTTCTCCCTTTCAAATTCAAAAAAAAGGAGAAATACTCAAACATTCACTCTTAAATACATATGATTTGGTTAATAAAATAGAATCTGGGCAAAGTCAAACATGGCACTGGAGGGTTGAGAGACAAGGATAATGTTGTTTATTGAGATTTGAAATACCTAACTTTGGTAGTTCCCCATTTGTCTTCATGCAGAAGATCAAAACTGGCCTGTTATTTGTGGTAGATATTCACTCTAGAGGAAGATTTCTCTAATTGATCATGGATAGACATAAAAAATAAAAAAAATAAGTAAAAATCTCTTCCACAAAACTAGATCAATGTGAAGCACCCTATTTACCAGATGTTAAAATGTTCAGTTTTAATTTTTATGTCACTTGAGTGTCTGTCCACCTCCTTGGAGCATCTCTTTATTTCTTTGGAGGAAAATCTAAATAAAGTTATTTGTTTCCTTTCTAAATATTTTTTAAGTTAACAGTAATACTTTTTTCACTTGTATTGTAGTCCTGATGATTAAACAGTAAAAATGCTAATTAGAAATCTGTATTTGGAGAGAAAAGCTATTTCTTGATGGACAAAATTCAAACTGAGATGGAGACATTATAGGGCACTTAAATAAATAAGGTTGCATAGTAAGGGGAAGGGATTAGAGACTGAATCAACCAACTTGAGAGATTCTGTTTTAGTGGAAAGACTAATCTGAGATCAGAATGTGTTAAAATTGCTCACACTATTAAAATGTCCATACTATGTAAAGCAATCTAGAGATTCAATGCAATCCCTATCAAAATACCAATGGCATTTTCCACAGAACTGGAACAAATAATCCTAAAATTTATATGGAAACACAAAAGACCCCAAATAGTCAAAGGAATCTTGAGAAAAAAGAACAAGTTAGAAGTAACATGCTACCTGATGTCAAACTATACTACAAGGCTATAGTAATCAAAACATCATGGTACTGGCATTAAAACAAATACATAGATCAATGGAACAGAATAGAAAACCCAGAAATAAACTCAAGCCTATATGGTCAATTAATCCATGGCAAAAGAGGAAGGAATAGACAGTGGGGTAGAGAAAGTCTCTTCAATAAATGATGCTGGGAAAACTGGACAGACACATGCAAAAGAATGAAACTGGATCATCTTCTTATACCATATACAAGAATAAACTCAAAATGGATTAGAGACTGAAATGTAAGACCCAAAACCATAAAACTCCTAGAAGAAAAATAGGCAGTAAACTCTCTGACATTGCTCTTAATTAATATATGTATATATAGAGATATATATATACATATACATGTATATATATATATACACATATACATGTATATATATATATATGTATATATATACATATACATATATACATATACACACAATGGAATATTATTCAGCCATAAAAAGAATGAAATCTTGCCATTTGCGATAACATAGATGGACTGAGAAGATATTATGCTAAGTGATAATACTTTAGAAATAAGTCAGACAGAGAAAGACAAATACCATACGATTTCACTTATATTTGGAACCTAAGAAACAAAATAAATGAACAAATAAAACAGAAACCAACTCATACATACAAAGAACAAATTGATTGTTGATAGAAAGGAAAGGGTGAAAAAGGAGAAGGAATTAAGATACCCAAATTGCCAGTTATAAAAACAGTCATGGTAAAATACAGCATTGGGAATATAGTCAATAATACTGTAAGAACTATGTACAATATCAAATAAGTACTAGACTTATTGGGGGCAACCACATCTTAAGTTATATCAATGTCTAATTACTGTGTTGTACACTTAAAACTAATATATTGTATGTCAATGGTAAATTTAAAAAAATTTTAATGCTCACAAAACTAAAGTTATCAAAATCCAGACATTTATTGTTAATTGTAGGGCAGAGGAAACAGGGGAAAACACATTTTGTCTTTCTTTTTGGCAGGGAGCTGACAACTTTAGACAAAATGCATGTTAAAAAATTAATTTTCTCTCCCATTTGCTTTTTATTTCTGGAAAGATACTGAGCTAGGGTGAGGGGTATATTATTAGATGAACATCCTGATCCACTGTCCAGAATCTGCACTCATTCTTCACATCAGTATCCGTGAGAAAGTCAAGAGTGCTCCTTTTGAATTCTACATCTGTCGGTGATTAGCTACATCATGGGCAAGTCTGAATCCCTAAATGCATTAGTTTTTCATATCCATTTAAGGAAGAATAATATATATCTTGCAGGAATGTTGTAAAGGTTAGAAAAATGGATGTTTGGGAAAACACCTGGAGACTGAGCATAGCCCTCAGTACATGTTAGGATAATGAGTAAATAAGAAAAGTCAGAGATGAGTCCAGTCCCCATTTTCCACAAGTCAAAATCTATATATTTAGTTAGGCATTCAGCATCCTGAAGAATCTGCTCCTTTCCACTCTCCAGTCCTTTTTCCATGACTGCTCCACTGTAGTCAAACATTCTCCAATATATCTTGAATTTGCCCACCTTCGTATCTATGTCATTCCCACCACCCTCAGCTTCCAGTTGCCAAAATTCTACCCCTCTCTCGAGGGCCTCAAATCCCATCTTCATTAATTTTAGGGGACTCACCTTCTCGTCCTCTAAACCATGGTCCTTGCTGTCTAGGGAACTCCTGGAGATACAATTCACAAACCTCTTCTTGCCTCAATAGACTGCAATCTCCTGCAAGGCTGAGGCCACATATCCAGTACCCACCTCTGTGCACCACAGAACATGGTGCCTTGCCAAGAGTAGATGCTGAATAGACTCATGATGAAACGAATGCATAATTTGTTACTCTGCCCCTGTTGTGCTTTTGGACAAAACACTTTGCCTCTTTCAGTCTTGGTTGCCTCAGCTGTGAACAGAGGATAACAGCATGGATGTACTCCCCAGGTGTGCTGTGAAGAATAAACCAATGACTGAAAAGCAATTTCAAAATGTAAAATGAACTGCTGTATATGTTACATAATCAAAATCATTTCCCTCTGTACTGTTTTATTTGGCTCCATATCTTGGAATCCTTTGTGGGTTTCAGAATTTCACAGATGTAATACCATCCACATTAGCACCTAAATTCTCTTGGGTAATAAACGATTGTGTGTATTATAACTCATGACTATTTTTCCCTGGTATACTTAAACATATGAATCTGTCATAATTTGGGCTATTCATAACTAGTGATACGATTCATTTCTAAGGGATAATCTGTGTTTTTCCTTCTTTGGTTGGCCAGTTATCATTCCCATATTGCTAGCTTCAAGGGAACCAACTTCCATTAAACCCCAAATCCAGATGAACATGTTTAGAAGCCCAAATCCTCTAGGAGCTTACAATCTGAGACCTGGAAATGGGTTTGGGGTTTTGAAGCACTACTTGTTGTCTGTGGCCCTTTTTATCTCAAATTCTGAATCCCTCATTTGCTTTATTGTAATACATATGCTACCAAGTGCTCACTGCAGCCTGATTTCCTAGGTATCAGAAAAGATTAGATTAGCCCTTCTCACATGAAAGCAAGGCAGTGCTAGTTTAAAATGCTATTTTCTTTCTTAATATGTTCAAGAAAGAGGTTGCTTATAAAAAAATAAATTTCTTTGGAATATGTATAGTACCTATAAAAAGAAGCTTTTGATTTTAGTGCATAGTAGGATATTTTCCTAGAATAGTCCTTACACGTAGATAGAAACTCTGAGGAAGAAGAGATGGCAGCAATATCATAGGGTGGTCATGAGGATCAAGTGAATCATTAGATGAAAAGTCTTAGAACAATGCTCAGAACATAGTAAGGGCTCAATAACTATTAGGGGTTGTTATTTGAGCCCAAGATTCATAATAAGCCAATGAGAAAAATCCGATCACCCTCTACTTCCCACAACTTTCGGCTCGGAGAAGCTAAGCAACTTGTCTAAGTTCTCAAGTTAGGAATCAGTGGAAAGAAAATCTAACCCATGGTCTATTGTGTTTCCAGAGCCCATATTCTTTGCCCTGTTTCTTAGAATGACCTACTTTTCTTATTTTTTGCTTAGGTTGGGAGTCCATTTTTCCTCCCTGAACACATGATCCTCTCTTTCCAAATGCCTAATTCCTCAGTGTTACTCATTTTGTTATGAAGTTTTAAAATTAAGAGGTTTTTTTTATTGCTTCTAGTGGACTTCTGCCCAATTTGTCTAGTTTTATGTCAGGCTATTTTTCCAAGATCATTCTAGTCTTTCATCAGACTTGTCCTCACATAATGGCATCCACTTTTAAGAAGTTCAATGTACAATAGTTTTCTTCTGGGGCAAATATGAGAAAATCCCATGTTTTGTGGAAGAGAGGCTTTCCTTCCCCACCCATTTCTGTTATCACATTTTTACTTAGTTGAACTGTGACAATAAAACAACTCTCAGATGGGCAATTGCATTGTCATTCAAATGCAATGAGATATCATTGTTTTGTGGGTGGTATCATCCTGGTTGCAGATATTGTGCCAGAGCAATCTGTTACAAAAATACCTCCTAGTTATGGTATACAAACACCATATTTTAATTTGCCAAAAAAATACCTACATTATATTTTGTAGTCTATACAGCAATTAGTATTTCAAAGTAGCTTATGATCGGTTATCTCTCCTAGCTCTGTAAAATTCATCAGAAGTATCACTGCAGTTTCATAGATGGGAAACTAAGGTATGGGAAGGTTAATAGCTTGCCCAGGGTCTTAGAATGAACCCATAGCATAGCTGGTATTAGAATCTGCTGCTTCTGATTGCATTTCTTTGCTAAGGTCTTTAGCTCAACCTGTTCAAATTCTGAATAATTTTCAAAGTGAACATATGTTGAGAGAGGTGGTGAAAATAGAAAAGAAAGAAAAATATTATTCACTTAAGTAAAACTTCCAAGACATTTAGTAATCAAAGAATAAGGATTGTGGGGACCCTTTCTCCTCGTTTCCACTTATAGATTGAAAGAACAATAACCCAATGAGATTTAAATAAAAATTGCAAGTGTAAAGAGGAATTGTTTAGACCACACTATATTCCCATTTCAACATCATTTTGTTGTTCTTTTCAGCAATCAGTACTACTACAAATGCCATGCATTTGAAGTGCTTTGTAACTACTGTCATGGTGTCTCCTTTAAGCAGATAAACAGTGGACCAATTCTGCCAGTGCTGTCTTATGGTCAAGGAAGTAAAGATAAACAGAGGTTAAGTGACTATTAGGAGCACTCAACCTGCCCACTGCTCAGTTTAGAACCAGGGCTCCTATTAGTCACGTTCTATTGAAATTTAGGTTCCAAAATTTTGTTTTAGTGTCAGATGGGTAACAGTGCCTGAAGGCAGATTTGCTCACCATTTACAAAGGGATCAGCCCTGCTTCCACAATCTCACCTCAATCTCCTCATTCCCAAGCCATTCCACAAAATTCCTCACCGCCCCCCCTCCCTCCCCGAGAGAAATTTCCTTTGGTGAAATAGGTAGAACTAAACATGACTTCCCTGTCCAGATATCTATGGTTTTCTCTTTGTTTCATACAGATAAGACTATAATGAGTTCTTAGATAAGTAACAAATCTCATTTTCCTTTGCAGAATATGGAGATGGCCTAAACTCAAAAGATCGTTAAGGGAACTGGCAACCAACAGAATAAGTCTGTGTCCAAGTGATAAGCTCTTGTCAAATACCAATTAAAACAGAAGACGGTGTGGAAATATGAACATAGTTTAGATGTGCTCTCTTTTCATGTCATTCATTCTATAACGGAAAATGAGACCAGCTACTTATCCAACAGCCCATAGACAGTTGTGTCTGTATGAACTGAACAAAAACCTTAGAAATCAAGACATGGAAGTCATTTGTTTAGTTCTAACTTATTTCATGAAATTTCTTATTTCTTTTTTGCACCATCTAATATAAATGCTATACTATAGCGAAGTACAGTCAACAGGCAATGTTTGGCTCCTATTATCAAGGTGATTTTTAAAATAATCATTGGCATCAGTGAAAAACCTTCAGTGTTAATACAGTAAACTTTTTCTCTAATTATATCCAGGAATGGGGGAGGGGGACAGAGGAATCCAAGAAAACAAATATTTCCCCCTTACCTCCCATCCTGACCTGGGCAGAGACCTGGTATATAGTCCATTCATGTGGTCTACATCTACTTCCTTGTCAACAAAGGCCATTCTCCCAGGCCACTCAGCAGCATGCTAAGCAATCATTGGAACTGAATGATCTCCCTTGTCTGTACCCAGATGAGCATTTAACTTTGAACAATTTCTGCATCACTAATCAATTTGAGAGGGAGGGGGCTACTAAGAACTAAAAGCAGACTGATTTTCTTGTCTTTCTGACAGCCTGACTTATTTATGGACCTTTCCCCATTGAGATAGAGATATCTGAGGTGACACAATTTGAAACTCAGTCCAGGCCAGAGTCACCTCACAGTTGTAGACTTCCCTGGTGGAGGGGCCATTTCGCTCCTTTTCAGCCACAGGCCCTTTGCCTTCCTTCTTAGCAATGACCCTCATCAGAACATGCACATGAGAAGTGAGCTACAGTGCAGGTCTTTATGGGGGCCAGGCAGCCATTGAAATAACACCTGCGGAAGTCTATTTCCTCACACATGATATCCTGAATAGTTAACTTCAGTGAAAGACTAAAACTTTTAGGACTTCTTTTATCTTAAGGAGACAATGATCAGTGATGAAGGTGTCAGGGCGCCAGGAAGTTTGACCCCCTTTCCTGCTATGCATACCTTCGTTTTAGTAACATGGGTTGGGTGCCTACCTATGGAAGATGCATTTCCAGGCACACAGGCCCCTACTTACCCACAGCTTACAGTTCAGGGCTTACTAACGTTCTAGGCTTCAGCCTGGAAAGCAACCCCAACCCTTTGCTTTATGACTCTTATGTCTCTTTATATCCTGCTCTGCATGTGTGCTACAGCCACAGTAAGGGCTTAAAAACCGGCTAAAGGGCTCACCTAGTCAGCCAGCGAAAAGCCCAGAGCCACAAAGCCTTTCTCCGGGGCTACTCGGCCACAACTGATCCAGTGAGCTCAGGCTTCCCCCATGCCCTCCACCATGGAGGTCTCTGAGCTAGGTCCAGGGACTTCTGAAGGGGAGTGGGGCGCGAGCATGTACAGTGGGTCAGACGTGGAGCTCTGCGGCGTTCCTTCCTTCGAAGATGGATGGTTCTGAATGCCTTTGGTGGACCCAATGTACAGCAGGAGCCACCGCTGAGGATGCCACCTTGCGGGGCAGCCCAACCGGAAGGAAGGTCTCGCGTGTTCCGGCGCCGTCGAGTGCCCGAGATTTATTCGCAACCCCCCTCCCCACGACCCCACCGCCCCTGGAGACGAAAGAGCCCGGGGCGCCTTGGTCGGAGAGAGGAACCTAGGTGCCTGGTACTGTCCCCGCTGGTGGTGCTGTGGAAGGTATGGGTGGAGAAGGGACGAGTAATGAACTTTCCGGGAGGTCTGTGGAGTCAGAGTTTCGTTTCTGGAATAACCACCAGACCTCAATAAGAACCTCTTCCAGAGGGCCTGGTGCTCCCCGTTCCGGGCCCAGACCTTCACTGACGGCTAGGTGATCTGGCCCGGGACTCACCCTTTTTGGGTGTTCGTTTCCCTCGACTGCTGAGGTTCTTTTGAGGCACTCAAGTTCCGCACCTTCTTCGGGCGCCAGGTGTGGGCGTTGTCTGCCTAGTCTCCGCCCGAACTGCAGCTGGGTTTCTCGCTCCACAGCGAACAGACTCGCTGCAGCTCCGGGCTTCTCTCAGCCAGGGGCTTTCCGAGGCCGCCACTTCCCTCCGGAGGCGCCGGGGTCCGGCCGCAGCCGCACACATAGCGCGGGCCCTCAGCCCCCGTTGCTCACCGCAGCCAACTCGACCGCCGCCCGCGCGTCTCTTCGCCAGCCCTCGGCTGCGGTGATTGGGCCGCGGCGACGGGGCGGAGCCCGGAGCTCGGCAC